AGATACAATTATCTGACTGGTTTCAAACATAGCCATGAGATATCATAAATGAAATAAAACTTTTGTACCATGTACTCGTTGTTTCAAACCATAAAGAGATTTCTTCAACGAGTATACATGATCTTCCTTGTAGTCAAGAAACCATTAGATATGACTTATGAGACATATAAATATCCTCTTCTAGATTACCATGTAAGAATGATGTTTTTACATCCAACGACTCAAGCTTTACACTAAATGCACTCACCATGGGCAGTAGTACTCGAATCGTTTTGTGCTTCACAACAGGAGAAAAAACTTCATGATAGTTGATCTTTTTCTTTTGTGAAACCCACTTGCCACCAACCTTGTTGATTCAACTATGGGAATCCCTTCTTTTTCTTTTAAAGGCTCATCAACATCGTGTTGGTTTTACTTCATTTGGTAATGGTATTAGATCCAAGGTTTTTGTTGAATGTGAAGCCATTGGGTTAGTCAAAAGAAGTGGCAGGAAACAAGGACTCTCATGTGAACATGGAAAAATTGTTACGGCTGCAGAATTTCAACAATGGTGGCCTTATCAATTTCACATGTATGTGAATGGAAGAAAAAGCTTACGACTCAAAATATTATAAATAGGCTTCTTCCTTTCATTTGTAAAACTTGTATCTAGTGTAACACAGAAAGAGTGCAAATTAGCACCAAGAAATGTAAATTCCTAGTTACCGGTGGACGTAGGTCAGAGAAGGACCGAACCACGTTAAATCTCTCATGTTCATCCTTGTGTTCTTGTTTTTCGTGAGCTGTGTGTGTGTTTAGAGTCGGGTGTTAAGTGTCTCGATCCTAACAAGTGGTATCAGAGCAAGGTTTTAGCTCCAGAAGGTGATTTTCAGTTTTTGGTCGAAATTTTTTTTCATCAAAAACGATTTTGGTGTATACCGTTGGAAAGGTCTCGTTTCGAAGATTCCGAAAATATTTTTTTCTGAATTTTTTGACCACCGGAAGACGTCCAAATCGCCGGTCAAAGGTTTGCCGGAATATTGATCGGGAAAACCAGTTCGCCGGAGAAGACGACACTTTAGCACCAGACACTGTAGCAGTCCGCCGGAGAAGACGACACTGTAGCAGGACTGTAGCACGACGTCAGCAGTGATGTCAGCAGACACTGTAGCAGACACTGTAGCAGATTTGAAAAATTGCAGTTTAGCCCCTGAACTTTCAGAAAATTGCAGTTTAGCCCCTGAACTTTCAGAAAATTGCAGTTTAGCCCCTGAACTTTCAGAAAATTGCAGTTTAGCCCCTAATCTTTCAGAAAATGGCAGAAAGTAGTAAGCTTCAGATTGAGAAGTTTGATGGGAAAGATTTTGGTTGGTGGAAGATGCAAATTGAAGATTTGCTCGTACAGAAAGACTTGGACGCAGTTTTAGGTGAAAAACCGGAGGCGATCACACAAGCAAACTGGGAGACTTTGGATAAGAAGGCCAAGGCATTTATTATACTGACTTTGTCAAAGGATGTTGCCTTCAACATTTTGAAGGAGACCTCGGCAAAGGGAATCATGGAGGCATTGTCTAATATGTACGAGAAGCCGTCGGCAGCAAATAAAGTCTTCCTGATTCGGGAACTAGTCAACACGAGGATGAGGGAAGGAAGTTCAGTTACAGTACACATCAACAATTTGAACTCGATTTTATCCAGACTTGGGTCAGTGGGAATAAAATTTGAGGACGAAGTTCAAGCTTTACTACTGTTATCATCATTACCTGACAGTTGGTCCGGAACAGTTACAGCCGTTACTAGTTCCGCAGGATCGAAAGAGCTCACTTTTGAGGGAATTCGGGATTTAATTCTAGGCGAAAACGTCAGACGAAGAAATTCCGGGGAATCATCAAGTGAACAATTGAATGCGGTCAGAGGTAGAAGAAATAACAGAGGTAGTGGAAGCGGGAACAGGAGAAGGAGTCAGTCGAGGACTCGAAATGATGTGACTTGTTGGAACTGTAAAGAGGTTGGACATTTCAGGAATCAATGTCCAAAAGACAAGAAAGAAGTTAACGTTGCAGTAGACCATTCAGATGATGATGTTTTGATCTGTAGTGTGGAGAGCAATGTGGATTCCTGGGTTATGGATTCGGGTGCTTCATTTCACGCTACCCACAGCCGTGAAGCACTGCGGAATCTGAAAGAAGGGGATTTTGGTAAGGTAAGACTGGCGAACGATGAGGTTCTTGATGTGACGAGCATAGGTGACTTAGATCTGAAGACTCCAGTCGGTCCATGGAATTTGAAGGATGTCCGGGTAATTCCAAGTCTGAAGAAACAGTTGATTTCTGTTGGGCAGTTGGATGAACGGGGACACGAGGTTAAGTTCAGGAATGGGCAGTGGAAGGTTGTCAAAAGAAATCTTGTGATAGCTCGTGGACATAAGAGGGGTTCATTATATATGGTCAGTTTACCGTCTGAGGGAGTAACCGTCCCAGTTCAGAAGAAAAACAAAATCCGGTTCATAGAGTCTCGTGGACAGAAGAAGGTTTGCTTTGCAGATGGCAAACCCAGAGTCACATGTCAGATTCAGGTTGAACGTGTTTGGAACGGTTCAGAAAAACCAGTCAAGGGCATTCATAGCAGTGGGAGCAAGGGCTGTGCTTCAGCTAGAATACCCAGAACACAGTGGGTTAAGAGAACCAGTATTCCATCTGTAAAAGTCTCTCCAGATTATCTGCTTCACATGGAGAGTGTCGTTTGTTCTCAGGATGTTCCAGGATCGGGCAGTTCATTTCAGTGGGAGCCGGTGGAGACAGAGAACAGTTCAGTGGCAGACTTAGCCATGACTGATGTGTTAGAGCTAACGGAAGCTTCAACTAGCCTTCAGGTAAATTGAAGAGAAGGCCAGGGTAACTAGGAAGGAGTCAAGATCAAAAGTTTTTACAGAAATACAGATACACAGTTGAAGCAATGGTGAAGATTGTTTCGTGGCTTCAAGTGGGAGATTGTTGAATGTGAAGCCATTGGGTTAGTCAAAAGCAGTGGCAGGAAAAAGGACTCTCATGTGAACATGGAAAAATTGTTACGGCTGCAGAATTTCAACAATGGTGGCCTTATCAATTTCACATGTATGTGAATGGAAGAAAAAGCTTACGACTCAAAATATTATAAATAAACTTCTTCCTTTCATTTGTAAAACTTGTATCTAGTGTAACACAGAAAGAGTGCAGATTAGCACCAAGAAATGTAAATTCCTAGTTACCGGTGGACGTAGGTCAGAGAAGGACCGAACCACGTTAAATCTCTCATGTTCATCCTTGTGTTCTTGTTTTTCGTGAGCTGTGTGTGTGTTTAGAGTCGGGTGTTAAGTGTCTCGATCCTAACAGTTTTTTTTTCTCTAGTGATTGCATTACTTCATTCATCTAGAATGGTCATCATTTATATGTTGTTCATCATATACTACAACTCTATTAGGAGTCTGTTTTAATCTACCTTCTACATATCACCACAATCATTTTTTTCTTTCAAGACTCGTATTCTCTCATCCATGATCGATATACTAGATCCATAAAAGGTAACATCTCTAGTAATAATATTTTTTAGAGTTTCCTTTTTCTATAGTACACCACAATTGATATAACCTTTAACTCCAACTGCTTATCCTAAACCTATTCATTTCCTAGTCCTCTACTTCAGTTTACCATCATTAACATGACAATAAATATACACAGACCAGAATAATCAAAAGGTTTACAAAAACAAACCTTTTGAGGAGTCTTTAAATTCAACTACAGTTGATTGAAGATCTTTTACCAATTAGCAAGCAATATTTATTGCCCAAAATTGCTTCGGCTAATCAACAAATACAAACATACATATTACATGCTGTATTAATGGTTGGTTCATTCGTTCTGCAACCCATTTTTGTTTGTAGTGTGTATCGTACAGTGCGGTGCCTCAATATGCTTTCCTTTCTTAGAAGTCATTAAATGGTGCATTATAGAATTCTAATAAATCATCCATTTTTAATGTTTTGACATGTTTTCATGTCCGTTTTCTCTTACGCATCCTTCACTCCTTTAACCACCCAAACACACTGTCTTTCATTTTTAAAAATACAACAAATCCTTTTTCGAGAAGTCATTAATGGGCATCATAAAATACGAGCGTCCACCATATGATTTCACCAGTGAGGGTCACCATAAACCTGAGTGAACATACTCGTGGATTTATTTGGTGGTTGTTTGTTAACTATAACTGAACTTCACCATATGTTGCTTTCGTTTGATAAAAGTTTCACAAAACTTTATCTTACTAGTTACATCTCCACCAAGTAATCATTGTTTACTCAAAATCGACATTCCCTTCTTGCTCATGTGACCCAATCGGTGATGCCACAACTTTGAGTTATCATGACATTGCTCTAAAGATTGGGGATACAACTACATAGGGTGTAATCGAGCTTGAAAGTTGACTCGACTAAAAAACTCGGGCTTGAAAATCAACTGGATTTCAACTCGAGCCTCTATTTCAAATCGGGCTCCATCTTGATATATAAAGTAATCGACACTTTCGAGCCGGGCTCGACTAATTATTAAAATGATAAAATTATATTAAATTGAAATAGAAATACAATTAAGTTTGTGAATTCGACTCAACTCGGCTCGATTATACAAAATATGAATAAAATAAAGGGTAAAAGTATAAATATAACTAAACTCGATTAAGCTCGCGAGCTTCGCAAGCTGCATATACTTAGTCGATTTCGAGTATTTTTCGAATTGGTCTCAAGTATCTTACGAGCTGCCCACTCGGTGTAAGTTTACACAGCTACCATTCGGATCACCAAACTATCTTCTAGAAAATACATCATATGTTAGTAGTTTTCCTTTGAACATCCTTAAAAACATTTTACGAAATGTCTTCACTAGAATACTTAAATCCAGCAGTAAGTTTTCTGGCCATAGAATCACACGTCTTAATCTGCACCGCGTCGTTTTCCTTTGATACAACACATCACATAATCTCCTAATTTTACCTTCCCATTCCATTCTTTAAATGAAAGAACAAAAATCGAACTAATGCTAGATGGTGTTCTTAATCGATGAACACACACACACACACACTATCTGTTTAACGAGTCATTTGCTTGTTCTAGAAACTAGATAGGGTGGGTGTCCGTTTTCTTTCTTTAACTTTTCGATTATGCCTTTTGGTTTGTTAAACGTGAATCTTTCAATTGTCCCGTTTCGCTATGGAGCATATGAAACATCCCTTCCCTTCATCGGGTTATGTCGACAATCAACGACAGTATGCGCTCCAAGTCCTGCATAAATATCCACACAACTCACCCAATTCACTAGAACAAACAGCAAATCATAAGTTTCACTTTTAATGGCGATTGAGATCTGTTGCAAAGCCGCTGTCGGTGCTCCTGATATTCTTGGAGACTGTAATTCACTCTCTCTCTCTCTCTATGATTCCTTGAGATTTCATTTTAGCAAGATTTCTTGATTTTCAGTTTTGTGGGTTTTTTTTTGTATGAATTTAGGTCCATTTTGTCAAAAGGTTCTTTTGACACTGGAAGAGAAGAAGGTCACCTACACAACCCGTCTTATTAATCTGGACAGCAAACCCGAATGGTGATGTTGATTCTCTTAAGAATCTTGAATTTATCCAAGAAAAATGTGTTTTTTTTTTGTTGGTAGGGGTTTAATACATGATCTTTTTTTGTGTTTCTGTAGGTTTCTTGAAGTGAATCCAAATGGGAAAGTTCCGTTGATAAAATTCGATGACAAATGGATTTCTGATTCTGATGCTATTGTGAGTCTGATTGAAGAGAAGTTCCCTGAACCTTCACTTTCTTCTCCACCTGAACTCGCCTCTGTGTACTCTCTCTCTCTCTCTCTCTCTCTCTCTCTCTCTCTCTCTCTCTCTCTCTCTCTCTCTCTCTCTCTCTCTCTCTCTCTCTCTCTCTCTCTCTCTCTCTGTGTGTTTGTGTGTGTGTCAAAAATGCAAAACACACGCTAATGGAAATGCTAAACACCTTGGTTTTTGTATCTATAGTTTTATAATCTGTGGATTGTGTGTGTAGAAGGAAAAGTTAGACTAAGACCAATTCTTCCTTAGTTTATCTGATCAACAGAAAAGCAAAATCGGATTGCTGAATGCAGACAAATCAGTTAAATGGATATCCCTTTCTTTATCGTTATCACAAGTCACAACCTAAATTGATAAGATAATAAATGGATAAATTGATTGCATAGAAATTGATTTGATTGTTTATTACTTACTCATATTTTCATTTGGTCATAAATTAATAATATATAAAGCAATGGAGTCTTTTTTTATTCTTCTTTCAATTCTCCATGTTGTTGAAATCAAGTACTTGTTTATATTGTGACGCTTGCAGTATTTTATTATAAAGATACTTCATTATTTATTACTTGCACCTTGAGTCCTTGACTATAGTTGTCCAGTTGAATTTCTCTTGTCAAATTGACCTTTGATGAATTTGTCAGTTAATCATAATCATCATGTACAACTACAAAAAGTCAAATTGACCACTGTCTATTATATAATTCAATCAATTATAGTTGTCATGTGAACTTTTAGGGGATCGGAGATTTTCTCAAATTTTGTGACATTTTTAAAGAGCGAGGATGGTAATGATGGAACAGAGCAAGCTTTGCTTGATGAATTGGAGGCATTGGAAGAACACCTCAAGAATCATGTAAGATTTATAAATAAAAAATTAGATGATTGTTTGTTTTTCTATTACAATTTTTATTTTGCTAGAATGAGAACTAAGTTGTAGGTTGAACATATTATTAGGGGCCTTATGTGAATGGAGAAAAGATCACAGCCGTTGATTTGAGTTTGGCACCAAAGCTTTACCACCTTGAGGTGGCTCTTCCTCATTTCAAGAAGTGGACTATTCCTGAAAGTTTGATTCATGTGCGTAACTACACAAAGGTATTGTCACATTTTTTTTTACAAAATTCAGATATATAACATTGCAAAAACTTAATATTAATTTATATTATTATCAGAATTCAGATATACTCTTAAGAATACGTATAAGAGAGGTTGTTTATTTTGAACATATTTCGTCTCTTTCTAATATAAAAGTATAACCAATGCCAGCCATAAACCATTAAAACATTGTATTGACAAACTTTTGAGTGGTAAAAGAATTCACATAAATATGATTCTTATTTATTTATTTATTTAAAATCATGTGCATAAAAACTTATGATTTATTTGGTGCAGTCTTTGTTTGCTTTGGAGTCGTTCGAGAAAACCAAAGCTGCTGAAGAATATGTGATTGCTGGATGGGTACCAAAGCTTAATGCATGAAGCCATTCCAAGCTCTAGCTTTAATAACTCCATTTCTGCAGATTTAAATTAGTGGATATATTTAATAAAAATCTGTGGTTTGTGAATTGTCACCTGTCATAAGTTTTGTGGGTTGGCCTTTAGGTGTGTTCGTTTGGATGGATCGGTTTGATCCGATCCAATCATGTGAATCCAAATTTATTTCGGTTTTCAAATCATAGATCCAAATAATCCATACTAAATTGAAATCCAATCCGATCCAACCAAATTACAATTCGGTTGGATCGGTTTTATAATTCGGTTTTTAAATCCCGAAACATTTTAAAACCACATATATTTAGAATATTATCTAATGTTATAGAAGAAACAAAAACAAATTATTTAGTTGTGGTTTAACATTTATAAACAACTACTAAAAATATATTCTAATTTAATATTTTATAGATAAAAAACTTTTAAGAATTTATGAAAATTAAGGTTTTTTATTGTGTGAAATATTTTGAATCTATTCGAAAAATTAAATTACTAAACTAATATATATATATATATATATATATATATATATATATATATATATATATATATATATATATATATATATAAAACACATTAATGTTGGTTTTTTTTTACTATCTGCTTCTTATTTTATAAACAAAAATCAATCCGAAATCCAAAATAATAATTCGGTTTTGTTGAAAATCAATCCAAAAATCCGAATAACCAAACCGAATAGTCCAATCCAAATTGTCTGATTGGATAATTCGGTTTTATCCGAATAGTGAACAGCCCTATTCGCCTTTATGATACGCTAATCAGGTCTAATGAGAAAATAAATTTGTTAGCTAAAACAAATATGGTATTGAAGGTATATCAAAGTGTTTACAACATGTTGCATGAGTTTTATTCAATAAAATATTATTTCTTGATCAATGCTTTTCACTTTTTTTTTCTTAATTTTTTTTTTGTATTAGTATTAACTATATTAATTGTTTAGGAAATTAAAAGAAGTTTCTATTTGGTAGCAAGCCAAATGCGATTACGCGAATGCATTATTACCATTACAAATACCATTTATTTCCTATGTTTATAACAAGAGGGCGAAAAATGTTATTATGCCCCAATGGAATAGAATTACTAAAAGAAAAAATCAACAAACATTTTTATATAAATAATCTCATAAGCGAGACTTTATATCTAAATCTAAGCCAGAATTACTTTTACATTTTTTTTAGAACAGCCGAAATAAATTTATCAGGTAAAAGAAATTACTAAAGAACAAAGGGCTAAAAAGTATTCAATATTGACAAATTACTAATGAAGAACAAAACTTAAATCCTACCAATAAAATTCTAAAGAAAGGAGCCTGCCCTGCCAAATACGTTCGAGGAAGGAAATGCTAAATTTATTAGAATAAAATTTTCCCCAAAAAGAAGTATTTCATATTGAGCATTGAGAAAATCACTAAACTATTGAAATAAATATATATTATAAAGACTATTAGTATATGAAAAGTGAAGTAAACAAAACATAAACTGGTATTTAATAAACAAAATTTAGATCTCAGACTCAGAAATCAAGTAAATTATCAACTAGAAAATCAAAACAAAAAATCAAAAACCTCAGAATTCAAAAATCAGAAACCGAGAAGGGGAACATAGAACTATATCAAAAATCGGAAATCTAGAAGCTTCACTAATAGCCGATTAGGTTGAAATAAAAAATCAGAAGAACTCATAACTATATCAAAAATAAGAAATACATAACTTTCACTGATAATCGATTAGGTTAATATAAAAAATCGGAAGTCTGTTTTAAGGATTAATGGAGAAGCAGCGAAGGATAACAACAACATCAATAAGACTAGACAGAGTGGGAGGTGCTAAGCATTGCTAAGCTCACGCCAACACCGCCCCTTGGCTCTCGCAAAGGAGCTCGCCAAGCAAGCCTTGCCGTCCCGCCAACGAGAAGAGAGAGGTGGGACAAAGGGGGAAAGTAGGCTATTATTGGTGGTCTCTCTATTTTCTTTTTTCAAAATCAAACCTATTTAAATGACATCACCACCACTTCTTAACTTTTACAAGGTGGACATGTTTTTTTTTGGCAAATGCTTAGGTGCCTTCAAAAAATCTTACGTGGCATCATGCTAAGCTAACCACCACTCTCTCTAGCCTAATCAGAATTAGGAGTGTTTATATTACAGTTTCCTCGTCGTCTTATATTTGACTCCTTGATTTTGATTTAGGCGTGCGAGACTACGAGGTTAGATATTACCAAGATGACGTATGCGTTCTTTTTTATGGATGCTTGTTCTCGTGCCCTTTAGTTTCTAGTTGGGCTTAAATGTTTAACAAACTGTTAAATTTGGCTCAAATAAAATGAACATACTCATAACAACAATTGAAAATATGATGCCCCTAAGTCAATTGCTACCCTGGGCCAAGGCCCAATCAAAACTCAAGTCAAAAACCAAGTATCAAATACAAATATCCCAAAATGAGTGTATCATAAAATATCCCAAGCATATCACTGAAGGATATGTACGATCACGCCTTCGCTTTGCCTCAATCATTAGAAGTACCTGAAACATAACGCTTAAATCGTAAGCCAAAGCTTAGTGAGTTCCCCAAAATACCACCACACAAACATATAATAGCATGCATACTGGGTCCACAGCCATCAGGCTGGAATACCACTGAGCCCACAACATAGTCTAGTTTGCCTTTCTGGCCCACATCTCATGTCTGGATTGCTCCCGAGCCCACATCATAAGTCTGACTTGCCCTTTCTGACCCATAACTTATGTCTAGCTTGCTCTCGAGTTTGTTGGCTTCCGCACAGAGCAATATTGCCTCACCCCAACCACACTATGTCGACATATACAACAAATAAAACATATAACAACAAACAGATAATCATGCAGATCTTAACAGATCACTATAGCATAACAACATTATAAACCAGGATACACAACCTACTGGGTCAACATTGGTGCCTTCGACCCAAAAGTACAGTGAGAAAACTTATCTTACAGTTTGAAAAGATAGCTTCACCAAACACTGCTCCGAATATTTCCTCTACTGATCACCTACACAAATACCAGGGCCTAAAACTCAAACTACCACTCAAAATACTCAAAATGCCCCTAGATCACATTTGGTCAAAATCCTGGTCAACGGTCAAATTCAAAAAGTAAAAAAGTCAAGGGAATTCAAAGAAGACTAAGTACGTCCCGCGTACTCAGTCACTACGTTGGGCATAGTCGCGACTCTTCCAACCGACATGGGTCTAGCCCAGTACGCAAAGCGTACCTCTTGGTACGCCCAACGTACTCCGTCTGGATCCATTTCTTCTCATTAAGTGCATATTCCTTAAAGAATTTTTCATCCAAACTCAGATCTAGACCCAAAAAATCATTCTAAGTCAAAAATTTTCCACCTTTATGAATTTCCATGGCTAGAAATTGTCTAAAAACTAAAACCCTAACTTAATATTCCATTAAAACATCATTATTCTTTCATGGAAGGGATAGAAGGACCAATATCACATTTTGATGGTTCTTTGCACCTAAAAACGTATGAAAGGAAAACTCTTATGGTTTAGAGTAAGCCATACTCATGAACACCAAGATTATGGGACTAAAAAGCATAAAACCTAAGAACTAACAAGATCCAAAGAAAACATGCATTAACTTCCAAGCTTTATACCGTCAAATGATGCTAGAGGATGAGATGCTTCTGGATATAGGTTTCCTTGAGCTTCCAAGATGATTATGTTGGATTTGGTGTCTAAGCCCATAACTATAATTGGTATGTACTTGATTTGATAGAAGCATGATCCTTTTGGGTTGCCTTCACTCATGCAACTTGACAGGATGACTAGTGGAGAGAGAGTAGAAATTATTACTTGAAATAATAAATTGGTACTCAAAATGATTTTATTAATATATTACAAGGTTAATATATTATTTGAAAATCATATTATTAACTAGTATTTCATCAGAAATTAATTTGATATTAATTTTGGGATTAAAGGAACTAATTAATAATGGAGGGGCTGTTTTGCAAATCATTGATAGTTGTGAAACTGGGCTACTAGACTCCTTATGATGGAGTGGACGAAAATTATAGGAAGCCCTATAATATTTTCGTCCAAGGTCTCATAATGAGGAGTCAATGGGCTGCTTAAGCCTTAAGCATGAAATTTGGGTTTCCACCTGAAAACCCTAGCAGCCCACAACTATATAAACTCCCTAAGCATTAGAATTTCGGCCCTATGCTTCCTTGAAGAACCCTAGCCGATTTCTAGTGTTTCTCCACTCATCTTGTTGGATTGGGTGTTTGTGACTCCATTAGAGGTGCAACATTTGAGGCACTAAGCTTTCAAGAATCAAGGATCATCAAGATTGACTTGTTATTACTATATAACAAGTGAGGTAATCTTCTAACCCTAATTTTATATGGATTTTGAAAAATTGTATGCTAGATTTAGGGTTATTGCTTTGGTATTCAATTTGCATGTTCAATTAGTGAAAAACTTAGATCCAAAGCAATTAGGGTTGCATGATCACATAAGATTGCTGTTATGCTCAAAACCCATCAGTGGTATCAGAGCCTATGATGTTTTTCAATTGAATTGATGCAATAGTGAACTGTCCAAAGTGGAAGAAAATCAATTTTTGCTGTATGATCATGGAACTCGACGAGTTCATGTATGAACTCGGTGAGTTGGATGAACGCGACGAGTTGACTCGTCAGTTGCCTATTTTTTCGATTTTCAGATTTTGATTTGATTACGATAATTGCTTTATTCCGTTTTTATTGCCTAAAATCGAATTTTTGAATGGTAATATGATATCCTTATCATAATTAAATTATTTGGTTAAATTTGGATAATGATAAGATTATTTTGATTTAAAATTCAACCTAGTATTTTAAAAGTTTAAAATACACCCTTTTGGTTTTATAATTTAAATTTGAAATTAAAAGTTTATTTTTGGAAATTTAATTGGAAAAACCTAGAAGATATCTTTATGGATTTTATTAATAATTTAATTAAAATATTAATTAAAAGACAATTAATAAATCCATATATGGCTTAAATTTAACTAAATTAAAAGTTTAATTTATTAAATGATTAAACCACTTAGTATTTTAAAAGTTTAAAATGCACCCTTATACTATATAAAATTA